AATGAGGAAGGCCATGGGTTTTTTCTTTTTTCCCCCCAAATTAACCCACATTGGGAGAGGTATTCTAAACAGACTTTAGGAGACTGTAATAACTTGTTTTAACTTTTTAAACTTCTCAGACCTTATAATTTTGAGTGTGGCTGTACCCTGCAAGCATCTTTGATTGCAAAAATGCTTCCTTAATCACATGTAGTTAATGAAATAATATGTTTATATTTGACTGCTTTATTCAAATTTTGTTAGTAACTAACATGTTTAAATGACTTCACAAGCAAGCAGTTTGTTGCTTGGCATATTTCTTGCCAGGTGCGTTACTATGGAATTTACAGCAATGGTTAAAAAAATTATTTTTTTTTAAATGTAAATTTGGCCCTATGCATATTGCAGGCTGTAGTTTTAACATCTCAAGGATGAGAATCAAACCAGTACAAACCCTGGAAACCCTGTTCAACCATACAGCCATATAAGCACAGATATATGGGGCACCACAAAACGGTTACAAAGTAACCTTCAGCCCAGTTTAGATGGGTGATGTTAAAATCAAGTTTGCTTGTTCCCTTTATGTTTAATTCACAACAAGCACATCTGACCTAATTGTGGCAGCTAAGGGCAGTCTTCCACCCAGGATCCACACAGCAGGACTGACACAACCTATCGGTCACACAACTTCTCAAAGAATCCTAGGGTAAACAAAATCCCTAAAAGAAATCTGCATATTTTGCATAAACATATGCAACAACAGTTATGTAGTATTCATGTATTAGTGTTGATCTCCGTGCATGGCAATAGAGAGTCATGGGAATCCCATCATAGTGATGCAAACCTTGACTAGCAAGACCTGTTTGTATTGAGAAACATTGTTCGCTATGAGAGCACAGGATTTAATGATCATGTATCCATGGCATGCATTTAACCTGCTCAGCTTTTAACAGTAGGAATTATTGTACAATAGTGTACGTTAATATACATGTTGTATGTTGATTGCTTCACTTACTGCAGTAACACATGGCAAGTGACCGCTATCAGATTTCCACACACACATATATATAAATATGCATGTATTCTCTTGTAAATTAGATGGCTCTTTTCCTGCATATATGGCATTTTCTGTAACCCCACCCTATCACATTTTTAAAATGAATACCTTATAAAATTACCACTTTCTATAATCCTATTGTACCAATCACTCATCAACAAACTACTCTGTAATTATATAGTTTGATATATACTGTGTAACTAAATACTTAAACTGTATATGCCCACACACCTCTTTCTCTCTCTCTCTCTCTCTCTCTCTCTCTCTCTCTCTCTCTCTCTCTCTCTCTCTCTCTCTCTCTCTCTCTCTCTCTCTCTCTCTCTCTCTCTCTCTCTCTCTCTCTCTCTCTCTCTCTCTCTCTCATATGCGCTGAAATTAAATTCACTTAACTTATATACTAATTAATAAATATATGATCTGTTGTAAAATATATGTACCCTATAACTGTATAGACTGATAAAAACCCTATAGCCCTACAACACTTCATGTGCATGAATATATTAATTATTCTTAGAAAAACAAAATATACAGACAAGTTAAATATCTTTTTTTTTTTTTTATCCATTTTGGAAACTCTGGTGGCTAGTCACCAGTTTGTCTGCTGGCCTGAAGGTCTTGGATTCTCATTCACAGCAAGGTGAAGTTTTGCAATTCACCTAGGACTCCCAGAACAACCTAGCCAAAATTCTGTACCAGAAGATTTCCTGGGAAGTAAAGGCTGATGTGGGGCCACATAATCCACCTAAGGCTGATTGGTTTTTTTTTGGAAATAGAACTATATCACTCATGCATCAACTGCATGATAAGGATCTCTTGCTTAATTTTATTGTTTATTTTTCTTTCTTCTTTATTTCTGCTTGTTTAACTGTCTGATTACTGCTGTACATTATTCCTTATTATGATTATTATGGCCTGGAGAGAATGAGGCACCTGGGTGTAACCAGAGGGTCTGGCCAGCTCACTACACTCAGAGGAAAGGCAAGACTAACATATAACCAGATTGTGACCGGTACTAACAATATTGGAACTATGCTCTGGAAGATGAGGACGGAGCACTCATGGGAATGCCCTGAGTGCTGTGATGTCAATTATAAACTGAATGTTTAGAAGTAATTATTTCAAAGAATGTAAGTTAATGCGTGAGTTACGATTGTCTCAACAGCAGCTGGGTGCCAACATGAACTTTGTGAGGCATTAACGAGTCCAGGAAGTGACAGCGGCAGTTTGACAACAGGTTTGTTTTCTTTTCTTGCCTGTTTCCTAACAAAAGTACAGCATACCATTGAACAGCAACTGAGGCTAAATACTGCTCAGTTAATTACAGAAAAATTATGTTAACTCTTTAGGTGCCAAGGCAAATACATGCCAGTTTATAACTACTTTAACTTCCTCCCCTCCTAGAAGAGTTATTTCCAGAGTCTCACTGGTGCAAAGGAGTTTGTGCACTATGTTGAGATTCTTTAGACTCAGGCTTGAATTAAAAGTAGAACAGAGCATTTATGGGTTAACACACCCATGTGCTATGATGTTGTTCTATAGACTAAACAAACTAGAAGAGTTAATGGTCCATTATATATTGTCAGCACATCCAAAACGTTAGTAGAGTTCAAGGAATCATCTGTAAAAGTAAAGATGCATGCTTTGATACTGGAATATCAGTAACCATGTGTCAGTAATTTGATTTGATTTGATTCTTCTTCTTCTTCTTCTTCTTCTTGTTCACCGGCTGTGAATTCCGGCGGTAAGTCGCGGTTGTTCGTCCAAAATGGACTTTTGGCTTTTACCTTGACCTGAGTTTTGCGTGTACATCCGTTTTACTGGCTTATTTGTTTGCAGTACTCGTTCCCCGCCTCTCCGGCAGATGTACATCGACTTCGGAGGAAGATTTGATTTGATTTAAGAATCGATATCACAGCACTCGGTGCATTCCCATAAGCACTCCATCCCCATCTTCAGCAGTCAGCGAAGAGTTCCGATACTAATTTTGCCATTAGCATTCTGATTAAATGTCCATCTTGCCTTTCCTCTGAGCATCTGCCAGAACCTCACGTCAACCCCTCCCCCCCCCCCTTTCCCTTCCTGCATCAGTCTCACCAGACTGTGGTGATCTGTCTTCTCCGAACCGTACACACTCTCCCACAAGGCACTAACCACGACCTCTGCCTTATCATGCATCAGTATTCCACCAAGTTATGCAGAGCCAGCCAGTGTAAGTAATAAAATTGTATTGGGCTTATAGAAAGAGGAGGACAAATGGTGTAGCCAAAACCTGCAGAAAGATGAATAAATCCACCACCCTAGAAGTGAAGACGACACTGGGCTGTAACCTGGTATCAGTGACATGACAAAAGAAGAAGGCTATATAGTGGTTGACCTATATTTGAAAGATGAGTTGGCACTCAGTGGATGGAATGATTAACATCATGGTAACCAAGGTCACTTCTGAAAAACGATCAAGCTCTGTTTGGATTTGAACCCATGATGTTCGAATCCATAGGTGAGTGTCATGTATCAGTAGGTCTGTAAAATAAAAGGCTAACATTAAATACCAGATCCTTACCTGCACAGGCCTGCAGGTTACACTGGGCTGGTGTAGCCAGCAGGGGTACCTTGATTATAACATCTGTAGGGTTGAACAGGGTATCTGCAATCTGTCCTGTTGATCGGTCATTCAGATTGAGATTTTAAAAAATCTTAAATGGTAAATCTTCAGGTAGCGTCTAAAGGGGACAAACTGATTGATTGCCTGATATGGCTCAAGACACTGAAGATAGGCCAGTGTCCCTGCTAAATGTCTTTACCAAATCACACTCCCAACACCTGAGCACATGCTGCAGAACTGCTCCCTACAGCAATACTCATGGCCAAAGGGAAGAGACATACAGGAGTCTTTGGGAAACCTGTGGGGGCTGCGTGGTCTCGAGGCATGATGCTGCCTTGAGTGCTGCAGGTTCCAGGTTCAATCCCTGGTAAGGGCTGGGACTTTTGCGCATGGACTTTGACTTCTAGTAATTCCCGCTGGTCTCTGGGTAGTGAGATAGGATGTCCGTGTGCATTGTTGCGCACATAAAAAATCAGTTGGAAATCAAAAAGAGCAGCCTAACGGCACTGCCCAGGCAAAATTTTGAGTTAAAAATCTACGCCCAACAAAAGTATTTCAGGGTCCTCGCCTGTGCTACAGAGCCTGTGCACTGTGCTGAGTTTCTTCAGACTCAGACTTGAGTTTAAAGAAGAACAGAGCACTTGTGGGTTACTACCCGTGTGCCATGATGTTGATCCATTGTTCAAAAAACCTGAGAAGCCTTTGGAGACTTGCTGCTGACGTAACAGTTCATGAAGGCAAAACACATGAGAACTTGAACATATAAAACCAGTCACAATGAAGAAAAAGTCCTCTATAGTGTTTACTTTTTTGCTTTGATAGAATCTTCTTCTCTCGCTCCAATTACTTCATTGACGTTTAGGGACACAAGGAGAAATTAAGGATCTTCTTTTGTAGTGCAGACTTTCAGCACTTAACTAGTTCCTATGCTTGGAAAAGGAAAAAAGATACTCTTCAACAAAGTCCCTGTAGAAGGGAGAGAGACTTGTCAGGGCAGAAGAAAAGTCTCTACCCAGCCTAACTCAATATAAACAGCAACAGCACACACAGATAGAGAGATCTAATACTATTTTCTTAAATCAACATCGTAAGGCATGCTACAGGAACACTGTTCTTATTTTACAAAAAAAAGCTCAGCATTTTTTCACAAAATATTTCATAGTTTGTATACATGTATTTTTCTGTTTGATGATTGAGCAGTGAAAGAAGATATGAAAAACTACATACATTTGCTAGCATGTTTTGCATGTAGTGTTTAAAAGAAAATAGTTTTTAAAGTGAAGAAAAGCATTATACACTTGAAAACATTTCCTATGTATTATCCAGTGTTTATTTATATATATTTCCTTAATGTTTCCGCAGATGAAAATGGGATGCCTGTTAAACGAAACAAATATTCCAAAATTGGAAGCTGCAGCAGCTGTGGCCAAGGAAAGCAACCAATGGTCAACTGGGCAGAGTTACTTCCCCCACCTCCTGAACATCCACCACCAAGTGAACTTGGCTCACCTCCAGATCATTCTGTTGATTCTTCCCTCCATCGTATCAACAGCAATGTAGCCGAAACACGCTTCATGGACAATCGCAGTCCCATGTCTCCGGTGTCAAAAATTTCTGCTTGTTCCTGTCCTGCTCCACATGACAGAATGGTTCCAATATTGCGTCCGAACATCCCTTATTCTGATATAGAGTACCCCACCCACCCGGGTCCATCCCATCGCTACCACGGAGACCTCACTGGTAATTACCAAGATGGTAGTGGGGGCAGTGGTGGTGGCGGCAGCGGGAGCAGCAACTATAACTCTGATAGACCTTACTCACCAAAACAGTTGAACTCTGCAAGGTCGCAGACCACGGATGCTGTGCTGCATCGGTGCCCCTCCCCGAGGTCGTGTCACAACTGTGGCAGTAGTATACAACAATCCTCTGGGCACCAGTTGCCGCAGTCTTCATCATCGTCATCCTCATCATATAATAACCCCCACATGCACCACCATCATCACCCACTCCACTCAGATTCCTTTGTGACTGTTAGTCAGCGTGCACCATGTGTAGGCGAAATGAGTGACTCTAGGATTGGCTTGTACCCGCAGGCAGGTAATGTTTATTCGCAAGCACCAGCATCTGCGCCCTTCACTCAGCAAGGCGGAGGACCGTATCCATATAATCCTATGCATCCATATCCACCGCCAGCTCTGCATGGATACAGAATCCCGCCTATGGAGTCAGGTGATCAGCGGGGTACCTGTGATCTTGAACTGTATCAAAGTCGGATGTACCCTCCAGGGTACGAAGGTCCTCATGTGGATAGAGCTTGCCAGTCATCCTTGCCTAGCCTAGCTAGTGAAAATATGCAGCCAGGCTTTGGCAGACGGTAAGTTTTACAGTGAGGCTGTCTTAGCCTGCTTGTCTAATAAGTTCCTCCATTTTGACCTTTTTTGGGGTCCACATTTGCCACTAAGCTACTTCTTCAGGTGCCTGGTCAGAAGCAGATCATAAATCTCCAGTCTTTGTCTTTTTTTTTTTTTTTTTGAGGTTGCTTCTTTTTTGTTTCTGGTCCTGCTGTATTAAGCATCAACGAGGAGTTGGATCTAGTTTCCTGTCTTTTGTTAGTGGCTTAGCTTGTGTTAATGTCAGATCACATTTCTGTGTGTCTCTTTTAATCTTGGTAGGCCTTTTGACTTTTAGCCTGCTGTTCTCTTGTCTACGCTGTAGCTGCTGGGTTAATTTTGTTCCATTCTGACCAGATGAGTAAGCCATCTGATGCTTTGATGTTCTATGAAATCCTTTACTGATGCTATGCCTACCTTTATAATAAGTTCTTCATTGGGGACTCATGTCTCTTCTTGCTTTTCCATAAAGAGGTTGAAGTTGCATTTATTTATCCTCCTCCTTCTCATCATCCTCCTCCTTCTCATCATCCTCCTCTCCTCTTCCTCCTCCTCCTCTCCTCTTCCTCCTCCTCCTTCTTCTTCACGTTCACCAGCTGTAAACTCAGCCAGAAAGTTGTGTGTGTTTTTCCATCTCCCGACTTTAGTTTTGTTCCAAAACCTAAGTATTGTCTGCACACCCGTTCTTCAAATCTGTCTATTTTGTATGCAGACTCTTGGTTTCTTGCCTCTCAGACTGATTTACTCCAGGTTTGAAAGATGCTTCCAGTTAGTCGACCCCTCTGACATGCTTGCTGGGTAGGCACCATCTTATTTTCCCGATAGTGGGACCCAGGAACCCACATTTTTGTTTTCCAAATGTTTAAGCTTTACATATCTCTCTCTCTTTGTGTGTCTGTGTGTTATATCTCATATTGCTTGGTTTCTTTCTGCACATGACTAGCTGCTTGCCGAGAGGAGGCATAAAGCATGAAATCTGTAGCTCCAGCATTAATCCCCAGGGATCTTTTTAAATAGCACCTGTTAGTTAAACTTTTATGTTTGCTATACCTATATTTTAAACATGTGTATATGTTAAAAGATGTTAAACATTTGTATATGTTGTATACCTTGTTAGCTCATTGATTACCAACCAGATTTTAAAGGAAACGCCCATATGTATTGAGGAGTGGCTACCCAAATGCTTAGAACGTTGGCTGTCATGCGGGAGACTCAGGTTTGAATCCTCAGTAAGGTTGGGGTTTTGTCTGTCAGGGTCAAAAATAAAATCTTCACCTGCACAGTCGATGACAACAGGACTCTCTAGGCGGCCATAATCATCAGGCTCAAACCATTTGTAAATTGCCTTCGAAGAATCGTGGAAGCCTAATTTTCATAGTATGCTCTAGCCAAATGTAAAACATTAAAAAAAATATTACATTTTGGGTGGGATTCACATAAGAACTTATCACGCATCATACGTTGTTTGGGACTAGAATTATTATATTAAATGCTGTATACATGCTAAACATTTGTGTATGATATATGTGTATGTACGTGTGCTTCAGGCCAGATTCTCCAACATCAGAAGGTGGTCCAGATTATGCGGGCGAGTCAGACATGGACGGTCACAGGACCACAGACTGCAACACCCCAGACTCTAGTGTCAATGGTGATGAAAGCATCTCAGGTAGGATGCCTTTTTTTGCTGGCTTCGCTTCCCCTGTATCAATCTTTCTAGCTAAATCAATCTCAGGTTTGGCTAACTTTTAAGTACATTTTGTTTTTAAATTTTTTGCATTTGCTGCAACAGAAGTAAACTAACAGCTTTATTGTCATTGTATGTAAATATACATATTCATTAATTGATGCCTGCGCAGAAAATAGGGAATTAAATGGTATGATATAGTCACTATTGTAGAGCTTTGGGAGAGAACTAAACAAATTTCAGTGAACCAAGATGTGAATAAAAGACGCTGGTGTTGGATAGGAAACATGTTGAGAAAACCTGGGAACAATATAACTAGAATGTCTTTGCACTGGAACCCATAGGGACGTAGAAATAAAGGAAGATTTAAAAAACACATGGAGCCAGAAAAGTTTAGAAGAGGGGCAGAACAACATGTGATCGTGAAGGATAGAACGACCTGGCATGGGTTGTTTTAGGGCCTATGCTCCATTGGGGGTTAGACAGAAGAAGAAAAATATAAATACCTGTTTGTCTCATATATTTATGTATGTATATATATATATATAAACCCACTACACACCAGTGGCCGGTCAGTAACTGGACAGGACTACAGGTCACACCTGGCTGGTGGAGCCATTATGGGTGTCCAAATTGTTTATTTAGACGTTGAACAGGGTATCACATAAAAACAAATACCAAGCAGCAACAGGGCACCAGCACGAGGCAAGCCAAGCACCAGCAACAGGGCACCAGCACGAGGCAAGCCAAGCACCAGCAACAGGGCACCAGCACGAGGCAAGCCAAGCACCAGCAACAGGGCACCAGCACGAGGCAAGCCAAGCACCAGCAACAGGGCACCAGCATGAGGCAAGCCAAGCACCAGCAACAGGGCACCAGCACGAGGCAAGCCAAGCACCAGCAACAGTCAGCTAATACCCATAGATATCATCACAAAGAGATCTGGACCACACCAGACCCAAAAACCACAAGCACCACAGCGCAGCAAGGAAGCAAAGAACCAGAATATCAGGTGTGACTACACACCACAAATAAAAAGGAAATCAAATAAGACAGCAAAAGAACCTTCCTTCATTCATATAGCAGGCCTCCGGGCGGCTGAAAAAGGATCAAATTTGGAATTTTTGTTGGACGAATTGGAACTGGAATTGGAACTCAGTAATGCAGGTCAGCTGAATTCCTAGTCCACTACATATCAGGTTGAATGGTTCTTGTCTGAAGCAAGTTAAAGAATTTAAATATATAGGAAGTATATTTTTGAAGGAGGGGAGAATAGATCAGGAAATAAAAACAAGACATCAGCAAGCCAGTGCAGTTTTATACCGACTGACACCATAATCAAGACATCCAAACATAAGTATGAGTGCCAAGAAACAGATTATAAACAGCATATTGATACCAACACTATGCTACCAGTGCAAGACTGGGATATTATTAAAGGCTAACTTAAGTAAAATTACCACCTGCTGAAATGAGATGCCTGAGAAATGCTGCCAACTTAAACCGTCCAAGACAAAGTTGGAAATGATTTTATCAGATAGACAGTAGAAACAGCAAATTCATCGAGAAACGGAAGATCAGATAGTTTGAACGTCTTCTAGTAAGAATGCAGCCAGAACAGCTACCAATGCAGATGCTACCCATGAAAAAATCTGAAGTGAAAGCAAGAGGCCGCCCTAGGAGAAAATGGATTGATGACATTAAAGAGCTTTTGCATTGACAAGGAATGAAGTAGTCATTGTTGCCCATCCAGCATTGGATCACAAAATGTTCCTCCCCACAACGCTCAATGGCACAAGTGGAAATTATTGATGATGATGATGATGAATAGGGTATCTATAATCTACCTTGTTGGTCTGCTGTTCAGATTAAGATTTTTGAGTTCCAAGGTGATAGGTCAACTTTTAGGTATCAGTTCAGAGGGGGCAACCAATTGATCGAGCCAGTGGCACATTGGGCATATGGTGCTGGAACCATATTTTTACAGACCATTTGGGAATGGCCATGATGTAGGGGCTAGATGCTCGCCTTTAGATCAGAAGGTTGTCGGTTCGGGTCCTGACGGCACCAGACTTTAAAAAAAAATATTTTTTTAATGACCTTGGCTCCCAGGTCGACCCGGCCTTGGATGGGTATCAGGTGGGGTCCTGGGAAGCAAAAGCGGCCGGCATGATGCTGACCACATCACCCAGCCAGTGCCGATAGGTCCATTAGATATTGATCTAGCCCTGTATGCCCAACACGCCTGAAGGTCCTTTACTTATTTACTTGCCACTCGATATGTGCAATGTGGCCAACATCAAGCCAGCTGCTTGAATTTCCCAGAACATTTCTTGGTACCCCTTTTAGCCTGGGAGCCAAGGTCATTCATTGAAAATCTATCAGTGTGCAGATTTGAACCCAGGGACTTTGACTGGGAAAGCAAGCATCTATCCACTTTTCACTTCCACATGCAGGGTGTCCCAAAAGTGTCCATACATAGGAAAAGTAAACTTATCACCAATGCCATTGCAGACGTTTCAGCTGTGCCCATACGTGTTCTACAGCACTGGAGTATATGCTTCATAATGTGTTTTTCAAAATAATGGCCGTCGTTAGAGCATATATAAATAAAAAATAAGTTTTCAATAAAAAAAATTTTTATATTTTATATGAATCAAAATTTATGGGTAACCTTATATATAATCTGACCATCTATTGACAATGCATGGAAATTATGTAAAATTATATATAAATATTTGAGTGTGTATATACATGTATTGCTTGCTATAATATGCTACTAGACTAGACATAGAATGACATGTGACTTGACACAGATTGTCATGTGACTTGACACAGATTGTCATGTGACATTTGAAGATGACAGCATGGGGCCTGTGGTAGCTTTGCTCTTTTTCCTGTTCTTGTTGTCTTTCCTCGCTCGTTTCCCACATTAGAATCTGTGTGGTGAAATCTTTGACAGGGCAGTAGAAAATTTGTTTAGCTTTGGTTGTTCAGTTACAACTAATACATATGTTATGTAATTCCCCCCCCCCCCCCTACTTTTTCTTAAGCCTCCTCCTCCCTTCCCCCCTTTTTAAAGAATTTAATATAATTTTCAAAAGGTTAATTTTATGTTTGGTTTAACCTCTGTTTATATATACTTTGAGAAACTTTTCAGTCAGATTTTGAAGTGAGTGAATGTACTTGGATAGTGTTTGAAATGTTAGAAGTAATTATTAGAGTAATATCTACCTGGATTACATCTGAAAACTTGAAAAATCAATCGTAAAAGTGCATAAACATATACTTATTCAC